GTATATTGTCATCCTGCAGTACTGAATAGTCCCAGCACAGAGTCTCCCGCCCCACCCAGACCCAGCACTCCATCCCGCCTGTCCTTCTTCATGAGACAGCAGAGCAGTGGAGGTGGATCAGGAGGTGCTCCTACCTCCTCCAGCATGGATCCACTGCAGTCCAGTTCTTCGAGCTCCCACCAGATGTCTCCTGACAGCCCGATGCACCATCAGCAGACCCACACAGATTGTCTGGACTGGGATTCAGGTTATCTGGAGTATCTTAAGGACGCTCGGAGGAGCATCGAGTTTTGCTCTTGGGCTTGTCGTGACTGGTCGGCACCATACGATGGCGAAAACCCATCCCCAAACACAGCCCCGCCACCCCCACTTCCCCCTACCTCCAATGTCCCGATGACTATGTTCCCCGAGCACTTCTCTTTCCAGCAGGGAGGAAGTCATAACTCTTCTCCCGGTCAGCAAAGGGCGGCCATTGTGGCAGCAGCGCGGTCTGAATGGAGTAGCTCTGAGCGGGACAGCGGAGAGTGGGATGTTACGATCGGCAAAAACAGCTGCATCAGCCTAACGCCTCGCTCCAAGAAACGCAGCCTTCAGAGAGAGGAGCTGCCTCCCAAGCCTGTCCCTCCTCTCGTACCTTCTTCGTCTTCAGCAACCGCTTTAGCCACTTCTCATCCCATCTCCTCCCCAGCTCCTCACATCCCCTCATCTGCCATCACTGTTAGCTACCAGGCTATGTACAATGGAACGATGGCGCAGGGAGACGGGTGCTCAGACAGTCGTGATAGAGGACTGGAGGTGAAGAAAGTGAAGCGGGACTTGGGTGATCAGCAGTATTTGGATGAAAACGCCAACCAAAATGGTTCCCTTGTTAACTGCCCCTCGCAAAGCTGCACTGCTCTCCCAAAGTCTATTTTTAGCAACAGTGACATCAGTGATGCACAATCTCTTTGTCCTAGCAAGATTTTTACTCAGACCTCCATTAACCAGTCAGCATCTGATACCAAACTGCTGTCAAGTGAAACCTTAAACCCACTCGATGCATCCTCAGATCTTCCAGAAGCCAGTCAGCAGTCTGTAGAGAGTCTTATTGAGGAGCTGCTGGAGCAGGCGCCGGGAGACCCACAGCTGCCTGGCGATGCCAACGGTCAGGGCATTAGCATCGAGGCGTTCACACAGGAGCTGAGAGAACTGGAGGACCGGGTGAAAGAGCGCTGCAAAGCAGCCTGTCAGCTGGAGGAAATCGCCAGAGAGAGTTTGTCCACTGAGCGGCAGGAAGAAGAACAGCAGCTGTCATCAGCACTGGAGGGGAAGCTGACGGGTGACGTGAAGGCAGACGGGTCTGCGGTGGGCATCTGTAGTCCTGCCAGACCACTGAACCAACCTGTCTCCCAGCCATACACAGGTGACTCACGGATTTCTTTCATTGTTGCATCTGTTTGTGGATACGTCTACTGCTGTCATCATGTTTTCATGCTCACACTGCTGTATCGAATAAGTGGTTGGATGTGTAACAGGAATTGTATCACTGAGCTCTTGCTGTTGATAACTGCTAACAGCACAGCTGTTGAAGTTATGTGGTTGATGGTGTAATTACCACCTTTTTAATCAGCAACATTTCTATCTGCTGTATCAATTCCTCAAACTTGGGAACTCTTCTTGACTATATTTAACCCTTTAAAGCCGGTCAG